GGGACTCGATCCCGGGACTCCAGGATCATGACCTGAGCCGAAGGCAGTCGCTTAACCAACTGAGCCACCCAGGTGCCCATTCTCATCAATGAAAACTATTAAGAAAATGAATGGACAAGACACGGACTGGGAGAAAATATTTGTAATACACAGATATGAATTTATATCCAGAATATATACAAAAACTATAAATCAATAAAACAAAAAAATGAAAAAACCCAATAAAGAAATGGGCAAAAGATATGAATACACATCTCACAAAAGAGGCATGATCAATTAACATATGAAAAAATGGTCAACACTATTATTCATCAGGGAAAGGTATATTAAAATTGCAATGTAATATTAAGTCATGCTTATTAAAATATTTAAAATTTAAAAGATGGATAATACCAGATGTAGGTGAGGATGTGAGACAACCAGAACTGACATGCATTACTGGTGAGTGTATAAAATGGAGCAGCCCCTTCAGAAAAATGTTTGGCAGCTTCTTATGAAGTTAAACATATACTTAACCTATGAACCAGCAATTAGGTGTTAACAGAACAGAAATAAAAACATTCATTGAGCGAAACCTAAAAACAATTCAAATGTCCATCGACAGGAGAATGGATAAATTATGATACATTCATACTAAAGAATATGCCCTACAATAATAAAGAAGTACCAATACATGCAAGATGGATGAATGTCAAACACACATTGAACAAAAGAAGTCAGATACAAAAGCAAACCTACCGTATTACTGCATTCTTCTCAAGTTCAAGAACAGACAAAACTAACCTATGATAGACATCAGAACCATGGGTGCACCTGTGGATGTGGGTGGGATTGACTGGAGGGAGCACAGGGGACATTTTGGTGGTTTTGGAAACATTTTTCATCTTGGTCATTGTGTTGGTTTAAAGTGTATATACATTTACCAAAACTCATCAGATTTTATACATAAGATCTGTTCTCTTTAAATTTTATTTTAATAAAAATAAAAAATGAATGCATCTCAATTGCAAGTCAGGCTGGGAAAACCAAATGAAAGCAACTTTATTTTTGTTTCTCTGGTATTCGAAATTTTAAAAATATACCATTTACTCAAATATTTTCTACCATCTACTTTGTACATCCTTCCAATTTTAAGTGGTAAACAATGATTATTTTCCCCCCAAATAATTTCTATCCTTGGAGGTAGAAGAAAGGAAATAACTATTTCAGTTTTATAAATATTCTAAGAACAAAGAAAGAACTGCAAACTATGGTTTACATTTTCATTAGTTTCCAGCAAGCAGTTTTTTAAATTTTTATTTTAGAGAGAGAGGGAGAGAAAGGGCATGAGCGGGGGGGGACCCCGAGATCAAGTCGCATGCTCTTCTGACTGAGCCAGCCAGGTACCCCTGTTTTGCAAACTCTTAGACATCATTTCTTTAAATATTCTTCTGCCTAATTTCTTCTCCATCTGGGACTCCAATTATACATGTCAGTCATTGTTCCATAGATCTTGAATACTGTGTGGTTCCACTCTTTTTCCTCAGCTATGATGAGTCTACTGATGAGACCATAGAGGATATTCTTCATTTCTGATCCTGTGTTTTTTATTTCAATTTGTCCCTTTCTTATAGTTTCTGCCTCTCTGCTGAAATGTTCATACATATTATCCGTATTTTTTACTAGATTTTTCAACGTGTTAATCAGAGTTTAAGTCCCCATCTGATAGTTCCAACATCTGGGGCATATCTGTGTATGGTCTTACTTTGCCTATGAAAAATGAATTGTTTTTTCTTGCTTCTTTGTGTAACTCAAATTTTTTATTGAATGCCAGTCATTGCTATGTAACAGTAGACTGAAGTAGACAAGTATTAATGCTTGGAAATGGGCAGATCTGTTCAGTCAGGCTATTTGTGTGGGATTTGGTCAGTCCAGTCAGAAACTGAGCGGGGTTTGGGTTTTGTTGTTGCTATGGTTGCCTTCAGTGCATTACAGATTTTATATCCTCTAGCATTACTTTGTGCTTTAGGATGGGGCTGAAGAACTTTTCTCAAGCGTTCATATTTCATCCTTAGCTTTCAGCTGTCCTGCACACCTGAACCACAGTGGTAAGTCTCTATGGTCTCGCCTATCCCCCAGCAGCTGTTATTTGTTATTAGTTATTAGCTCCTTGCTAGGTTGGTAGTTGGGAATGGGTTGGGGGTTCTTTGTTTCAGTTCAGCCTCAGTCTTCAGTAGGTCCTTTGTGGCCAGGCCTTGGGAATGGATTTTTCTCAACATTCTTGCCCCTCCTGTCTGTGGCAGCCAAACCATGACTTGTGTTCATAGCCGGCCTTGTGGGGGAGAGTTTCCTGTCCTTCCCGTAGTGGTAGAACTTTAATGGTATTGATTGGTATGGAATCCTGGGGCTCAGGACTGAGTCTTGTCCCCCACCCCCAAGAGTAGAGGTTTTTTCTTACCAGGTCCCAGCAGCAATGGGTCTTTACCTGTGCCCTGGGGAGACATGATTTTCTGTTGTTCCCTGAGTGGCTTAGGCCTTTTTTACTCCTTATGAGGGAAGAGCCTGGAAAGGAGGAGGCAAGCTCTCCTGCCTTTCCCACAGTAGCAGCAGATCTCTCCCGCATGCCTCCAAACCAAGGAAGCTCTGTAGAGCTCCAGCATCCTCCTCTCCCTGCAGGTCTTTCTCATAAATACCTGGTGGAAGTTTTAGAAAGGGCTTGTGAGTGCATGCAAACTCCCTTAGTGTCTTAGGCTCCCAGGGATTTTATACTGTCTTGTTAGCCCAAGTTTGGCCTTTTTAACAGTTAAGATTTTCATTGATTTTCTCTTACCTGTCATATGATGGTCAACACTTCTTCCTCTCATGCTGTGCTACAGGTGAGTCAGTCTACAAGTCTGATCTCTCCTTGGAAGGGTCTGTCCCTCCTTGAAATTCAGGCTATTTGGCTGCTTTGCCACATCAGCTCTCTGACAGATATCATAAAATTTATGATTTTATCATCTATCCACCTTTTCTTTTTGAGCAGGGAGTGACACTCTTTCCAGATATCTACATCATAGGCAGAAGTGAACTCCTGAGTGACCTCATTTTGAAATACAGTTTAAGAGGAACACTTTTATCACTTCTGTAAATGGAAAATTAATATCACATATTTAGATGTAGCCTTAAAAACAAGTACAGTAAAAATGAAACAGTATTTTTTAATAATCAGCTACCGTTGTCTGCCAAAGGCTCTGAACTGGATGCCTAGGTTTTAAAAAAAAGAGGAAGTGTTAGATGTTACAAATGTTGAGTATTGATACTTTTTCCTTAACAGAAAGATAGGGCTATAAAGCATGAGGAAACTATTTCCCCTGGCTGATTCCATATTATTTAATGTTACTTTCATTTAATACTTAAAGTCATCTTGTGTAGATGCCTCACACTGTGAAATATATTTCAATATATATGTCCCTGATCGCCAGAAAATGAGGATAAACAAAGTTAAGTATTGCCACTGAGCAAGAGACTCAGCTCTGAGTTTTGTCTAGGCTGCTCTTTCAGTGGAATAAAGGGGAGACAGATGACAAAGGGTCCTGAATTTGTCTCTGAAAGAGTCTGCAATCCAGTAACTGGGCTACATGCATACAAAACCCCATAAAGAAAGAGGTAAATGCCCTGGAGAGATAGAGTGCTGTGGCTCAAGGTCATGTCTAGATGGAAGTAAGGGAGATGGGAAGGGAGAGCAGGGAAGTAATTCTGGAGGAGGTGCAGAAGGAAGGAGTATTCTAGGTAGAGAAAACACCAGAACAAGAAAGCTCAAGGCAAGTGAGATATTTGGCTTATGACAAAAAAGAGGCTTATGTATATTTAAAAAAAAAAAAAAAAATAGGCACCTGGGTGGCTCAGTTGGTTAAGCGTCTGCCTTCGGCTCAGGTCATGATCCCAGAGTCCCAGGATCGAGCCCTGCACTGGGCTCCCTGCTCAGAGGGGAGTCTGCTTCTCCCTCTGCCCCTCACCCCACTTGTGCTCTCTTCTCTCAAATAAATCTTTTTTAAAAATAAAGCTAAAGATCAACAGCTACATACATAAGGGAAAGGGTGACATTAACTTATTTAACAAATATCGGGTGCCTACTATCTGTCAGGTATTCTAGCCTCTGCAGATACAGCAACTTAAAAAAAAAAAAAAAGGCAAAATCCCTGCACTATAAGGCTTATGTTCTAGTGTGATGTGTCAGAAAATAAAGTATATATTATACTGGTATTTAGTGCTATGGAAAAAAAAGAACATAGCCAAGGAGGATAGAGAATTGCTTAAGGGAGGGCAGGTTTTTTTTTTTTAAGATTTTATTTGAGAGAGACACACACAGAGATAGCGAGAAAGAGCACGAGCACAGAGGAGAGGGAGAAGCAGACTCCCGACTCCCGCTGAGCAGGGAGGGGAGGGCAGTTTTAACACTCCTATACAGGGTGGTCAGGGAAAGCCTCACTAAGAAGGAAATATTTGAGCAAAGGCCTGAGTGTGACGACGGTGTGCGTTATACAGGTATCTGGGAGTTTTCTAAGCAGTTGGAACAGCTAGTGCAAAGGCCCCGAGAAGACGCCTGCCGGGGTAACTAAAGAATAGCAGACTCGTGTAGCTGCGGTGGATGGAGCATGGGGAAGTGATAGATGAATTCAGGGAGGCAGCAGCAGGGGGTGGGTTTCATATCACGTAGGACCTCGTTAGTCATTGTAAGGAGTTCGTATTTGGCTTTGCTCTTGAGCAAGCTCAAAAGCCTAGGAGTCTGAAGTGGGAAAATGCCTTATTCATTCTGGCTGCTGTGTTGAACGTTGACTCAAGGGCGGGGTGAGGGCCAGGGTGCTTTCCAGACCAGTTTGGATGCTACTGCAATAACCTCGGGGTCTACAGAGTCTATAGTGATTTGGCCCAGGATAGTAATGGGTAGAGAGGGTGTGAGGTGGTCACAGTTTGAAGACAGAGCGGATAGGATTTGCTGACTTACTGCACGGGGCATGTAAAGAGTCAAGGTTGATGCCAAGGTTTTTGTTGTGAGCAAGTGAAAGGATACAGTTGTCATTTAGCTAAGGATGAATGCAGGAGAGGCAGATGTGGTGAGAGAAAGCCCACTGTGGTTTTAAACTTTCAGAGACTATTCTAGAGTTGGTATGTAAATTTATTTGAGAGAGAGTGCACTCGGGGGAAGGGGCAGAGGGGGAGAGAGAGAGAGAGACTCTTAAACAGGCTCATGCTGTGCATGCTCTCACACAGGGCTTGATCTCATGCCCCTGAGATCATGACCTGAGCCGAAATCAAGTCGGTCGTGTAACTGACTGAGCCACCCAGGTGCCCCGGTATGTAAATTTGATAGATGGTCTGAAAACGGTGAGATCACTAAGAGTGAGCAGAGAGAAAAGTGTAAGAAATGAGACCTGGCACACTCCTTATGGAAGAAAAGTTGCCATTAACGTAGAAGCAAAACCAGGAGCTTTGTGTTCTGGAAACCAAGTCAAGAAAGGTTTTCAAGAAGGGAGAGATCAGCTGCCAGATGTTACTGAGTGATTAAGCGCATAAGGACTGAGAATCAGCCATGTATTTAAGTGTGGATTGCTGGAGAACTTGACGGGAGCAATTTTGGTGATAAGCTGGAGTGACAGCCTAAGTGGAACAGGTTCAGGTGAGAACGGGAGAGGAACTCAAGGGTTTTGAAGGAGTTTTGCTGTAAAGGGAGTAGAGATATGGGGTGGCAGCTGAAGGAGGGTGTGAGGTCAGTTTCTAAGCGGAGAGAAATCCTAGCACGCTAATGGAAAGATGCAGGAGGGTGGAGGGAGAGCTGCAGAAGTGATACCCTTGAACAGGTGAGAGGATGCGACCAGCTGCGCTAGGTGGTGGGGCCAGCGCCAGAGAGGAGTGTCAACAGATCATCTGCAGG